TGCCCCCAAATCATTTATTGAAAAGGCCATGTTTTCCTCATTGAATTATTTTGGTAACTCTTTAAAAATGTTGACTGATCCTGTACGTTATAGTTTATTTCTGGACTCTCAGTTCTGTTTCACTGATTTATACATCCATTTGTACACTGTCTTTATTATTGTACTAGTAAAATTTGAAATCGGAAATTGTTCTTTTCAAAATTGTTTTGCTTGCTATGGTCCTTTGCATTTTCATAAGTGTTTTAGGATTAGCTTATCAGTTTCTACAAATGTATGCTCTTTAAAATTAATTATAAAGCGACAAGTCAGAATCTTTAACTGCAGTTGTGAAACTTTGTTCTTCTAAAATGGACCTTTACCTCCTGATGTGGTGCTGTGGGTTAAAGTGTAGGATGGCAAAGTAGTTTGAACTGCAAGTTGGCCGTTCAAGCTCACCAGCTGCTCCTCAGAAACCCTATACAGGGTTGCTATGGGTCAGAACCAACTTGACAGCACTTTACAACAACAACAACAACATACCTCAAAACAGATGACACATATCACTCTCCAGTATAACACATCTAGCAACTTCCCCAAGCTTCATCCAGCTAGTGTTTATGTACCCATTGCATGAGATATCCTTAGTCCTCATTGACCACACAGATCCATAGTCTGCCCTCAAATAGCACCTTGTCTCAGGGAAGTACTACATTATGCAAATAACTGAGAACCAGTATTTCAATGGCTTCAGAGAAAGTGTGCAAGGAAGGGGAGGCCCAAAGACATAATAAATACAGTGATCACTAACAGAACGTGGACTCAGAGTTTCTAATAAGTTTACTTATTATTAACTGATTTACCCTTTACAGTAACCTTATGAAATAGGTACCATCTTTATCCCCCAAAACAGGTCATTGTTCCACAGCCTTTGTGTATGTGTGTGTGTGTGTGTGACTCGTTTTATTTTGTTGTTGTTGTTCAGAGTTTATGCAGCAGAGCATACCTGTTAAACAATTTCCACATGTACAATTCAGTGATACTGATTGCTTTCATGTTGTGCAAATTTGCTTTTCCAAATTGCTCCTCCACCATTAACATAAACTTACACACAGTATCCAATATCAGTATCCCATATCAATGCAGATATTCTCTGTTGTTGTTGTTAGGTGTCATCGAGTCAGTTCTGACTTATGATGACCCTTTGTACAACAGAAGAAATATTGCCTGATTCTCTTCCATCCTCATAATTGTTGTGTTTGAGTTCATTGTTTCAGCCACTGTGTCAGTCCATCTCATTGAAGGTCTTCCTCTTTAGGTGACCCTATACTTGTAAATTAGTTGTGTTTTTTTTGAGTCCTGGTGTGGTGCTGTGAGCTAATCCGTCAGATGACAAAGTCGTTTGAACTGCAAGGTTGGTGGTTCAAGCTCACCAGCTGCTCCTTGGAAACCCACCCTATACAGGGTTGCTATGGGTCGGAATTGACTCGACGGCACTTAACAACAACAACAACATACTTTATCAAACACAATGTCCTTCTTCAGGGACAGGTCCCTCCTGATAACATATCCAAAGTACATGAGACAAAGTCTTCCTGTTCTTGTTTCTTAGGAACATTCTGGTTGTACTTCTTCCAAGACAGATTGCTTTGTTCTTCTGGCAATCCATGGCAATATTCTTTGTCAACACCAAAATTCAAAAGCATCAATTTCTTTTTCAGTCTTGCTTATTCATTGTCCAGCTTTCACATGTATATGAGATAATATTACAAATACCATGGCTTGCACAGGTACACCTTAAGTCCTCAGAGTTACATCTTTGCTTTTTTTACATTTGAAAGACATTTTTTTGCTGTAGCTTTTCCCAGTGCAGTATATTGTTTGATTTCTTGACTGTTGCTTCCATGAGCACTTACTGTGGATACAAGCAAAATTAAATCCTTTACAACTTCAATCTTTTTGTCTGTTTATCATGAGTTCATTTATGGGTCTAGTTGTGAGTTTACATTGAAATGTAATCCATAGTGTTCTTTGATCTTCATCAGTACTGGTTAAGTTAGACTGTTGTTTAGTTTTCAGTATTAAAAAGATGTTTTTGGTTTAAGACTTAAAGATGATCTCATAATAGTAGTTTGGGGGAGGAGGTTCCATCCAGTCTCCATGACTCCAGAAAGTCTTGATTTCATGAGAATTTGAAATTCTGTACTGCTGTTGTTCCTTTTGATTGGGGTTCTACAGAGTCTTTGCTCAAGAGGTTTAGTAATGGTAGTTGGGTACCCTCCAGTTCTGGTCTCAAGGCAAAGGAGGCAGTAGTTCATGGAGGCATCCCCCAGCTTTTTGTAAACTTTCTGATAAACATAAAACTTCCTCAAACTCTCTTTTAAATTCTTTTGCAATGTCATAATAAACATGATTGAAAATAAGTCAAAAGAATGAACAGAGTATCATTTTGGTTTCAAAATATATAGGATCCCTTTCCTCCACCAATGCTCTGCTACACCCCCTGTGAAGACTCTTATCTAAATGAAGACTAGGCACTCTGCCTGCAGGTTAGGGCATAGAGTAAGTCCACAGAAGACAGTCTGGAGATGGGTGAAGAGTTTCTCAGTTTTCCTTAGCAGACATAATGAGGGTTGCAACTAGGATGGTGCTGGGACAGAGAGGGAGGACCCAGAATGCACCTGGATGGTTTAATGAGTGAGAGAGCACCCAAAAAGAGAGGTATAATAAAACCTTTTGGAGTATTTGTATTGAGAATTCTGAAAAGACTAGAATTGTCTACTCTGATAGGAAAGTAGGTATCCTAGCTTTACAGAGATAAATACTAGGATACTTTTGCCAGTGATTGGTATCTGGGCAAACTTGTGGAATCCAGTATACAGTTTTTCATCTAACAATTTTTGGTTCCCAATATTTTAAAGTGCTGGGTCCAGTTGATCATTTTAACCATTCTTAAGTCCAGTAAAACAATGAAAGAAACAGAGCAAAGGAAAGGCACTTTTGCTTTAATATGCAAGGCCACCATATCAGCTGGTCTTTTACATGTATTATTATTTATTTCAAGGCTCTAAATAGCATGGAGGCAAGTGCCCTTCTACCCCCCTCCCCTTTTTTTTTTTTTTTTTTTTCCATATTTTTTTTTTTTTTTTTTAACAAAGGAGGAAACTGGCTCCAAAAGGTAAGTAACATCAGAGAGCCAAGGTTCTGGCTTTACTGTATAGCATGTGTTATTTGTGTGATGACATTTGTTAATGTGAGCTAAATGTATTCATTCATCATTTCATAAATATTTATTGAGTGCTTAGTATGTGTGGGGCATTATACTAGACAGTAGAGTGGTGGAGAGAACCAACAAAATCCTTACCCTTTCAGAATTTATATTCTAGTGGGAATGAGATCTTTAAATTGATTTGCATTTCTTTTTAATTAGATTCTGCAGTAAATCTTGCAAAGCAGTTAGTGAGGGAGTAGTGATACAATGAAAATTCATCCTATATTATTTTTTTTTTTACAAAGAAAGAAATGATCTGTGAGTATAATTAAAATAAATTATATGCTCTGATGCTTTACAAGTATTTCTGTTGTTTTTTTTACAGGCAGCATTGCTTAGTAACATCCACAAAAGCAAACAGTACCAATATGTGATATGTTGAGCTTCCATTGTAATTTACTGACTCATGCAGACAATCTTTAGGAGACAAGAAAGACTTAGAAAATTAAATGAAATTTTGATTTTAAAAATTCACCCACTTTTCAATAGATTACGTCATGCTGTAAGTAAAGAATTTGATACCAAAAATTTGCTACCTGCCCATTTGCTTGGGGCTAAAAATTATATGGACTACAAGTTATACAGAATGCATGATACCTGAATAAAATGGTACTCATTATTTTCACTAAGATCTGTTTAGTTCAGGTGTCCTTTTACATACTTGTTAGTTGATAAAGAGTCAATTCCAGCTCATGGTGACTACACCCCTATGTACAGAGTAGAACTACTCCACATGGTTTTCAAGGCTGTGACCTTTCCAAAGCAGGTTACCAAGTTTTTTGTCCAAGGCATCTCTGGGTGTGTTCAAACTGCCAGTTTGGGGCAAGTATGTAGTGAAGTGTCTAACCATTTGTGCTAGTAAAGGGATACCATGCTTCCATATGTGCTTGCATACACATATAAACATGCAAACATACATTTATGTGTGTATATAGATTATAGCTTTGGATTTGTGTTCTTAAAAGGGAGAAGAGATGGAAGTATTTTTCTTTTTAATATAAACTAGCAGGTTTGGAGACTTTATTTACTGTGTCTACACCTTGGAGTTTCAGAGAAACTGTACTGTAAAATTCCTTTATGCACTGAATTTACAGTTGGTTCAGATAGCTTTGTTTGTATTTCAATGTTTTCTTTTGAAAAAGCTGAACCTTATTCAAAAGTAGAAAGAAGAGTATATTTAGTGCCCAGGTGCTTATCAATCATCTTCCATCATTATTAGCTTATGACCAGTGTTGTGCTTATTGCAGGTAATTGGGTTCAAGACTAGTACTCAACTTACAGATTAATCTCTTTTATGTAATGGTTTATGTTAAATGTTGTTTTTCGTAGAGGTACTTTTTTGCATGACTTGCCTAAGCTCACACAATAATAAGGTGATCATCTGATATAAGCTGTCATATTATGGTTCTGCTTGGTTTTAGAATAGAAACTTCCTTAAAACTCAGAGTTAGGTCTATGTCTCCATGTTGTATTCAGCTGTCCAGCATTTATTTGTGAATACTAAGTAACCGACATATAGAAGAAATCATATGTTTAAAATTACGTTTCTTCCAGATACATTTTGGTCGTCTGTCGGATTTGCAGCAAAGAGAAAAGCAGTGATTAGCATACTAACTTTGCAATTCTCTTTTTGAATTGGTTTTGTTATTACTGCTATTGCTGATGTTGGTTGCATGATTAAATTCATGAAAATAGAACAAATTAATATTTTATGCTGTGCATACTGATTTGATTTATTTCTCTTGTGCAATAGGAAATGTACAGATTATAACTGAAACTCTTCTAAAATCCATGGAACAAGTACAAGGTATGAAGGTCAATGAGACTAAGACAGATAATAATGAAGGATGCAGGCACGGCAATGTGAGTAAAGGTCTCTCAGCTGGGTGCAGCAGATACCCAGAAGTAGACAAAATCATGACCAGTGGTAAGGTTTCAGAAACCAGTACATTACCGTTCCTAGATCCTTTAACTTTTGTGGACCCTGGATTAACAGAAGGAACTTCTAAAGAAAAAGAATGTGAAAGATTAAAACCTTCTCCTTCTTCATTGTCATTATTACCAGGGAACAGTGCCATTTCCAAAGTGGACAATGAGAAGGAAGAGTTGTACAAATTAAACCTTGTCTGTGAAGCAGATGACAATCACCAACAGATTCTTGGCCCCGAAAATGAAAACCACAATTCTGCACATGACAGCCCTGTGGCCATGGGAAGTGAAGTTGTAGTACCCTTGAAAAAAAAGTCTAAAGTTTCCAATTTCACATCCAGCTTGTCTGATCGAGAAGCCAGGACAACATCTCTAGAAGAATGTGGCTTGGAAGGTGATGGCTTAATGAAGGGGTCTGTGACAAAGACAGACACTTCCTATTTTGATCAGGATGATCACAGCAAGAACTTGGCTTCCAGAGAGGAACATGAAAAACAGCATTGGAGCCCTAAGAATGAAATGGGGCTATGTTCTCTAATTAATCCTGGGCAATCAGAAGAGGTTGCTAGTGGTCATCGTTCTGGCTGTTCTGATGAAAAAGAGACTCTTGACTCCCCAAAAGAACATACCCACGATAACTCTTACATTCGTGGAAGTATCCATAAAGAGAGCTCCAATTGTTTAGTGCCCAGTTCTTTTACTGAAGCTACAGAAGTAACGTTAAAAGAAAATGACTTGAGAATTGCTTCAGACATTCAAGGAAACTTGACAAGCCAAGAAGATCATAGGAAAACTTCTGCTAATATTAGCCATCCAGGCAGACACTATGAAAAAAGCAATTTTTCGTCACTGGTGCAGATTGGAGAGTCAAAACAGGCAACTAGTATAAATTCTGATATGTTAAATGAAATGATCTACAGTAAAGATGCAAACTCCATAGTCAACATTCAGCGGAATCTGGAAGGTAACATTCAATTAAATGAAACATTGTTTAATAAGGTTTTGTTTAAAAGACAATCCTTTGTGAGTAAAATGCAAGAGGACCAAATAAGCCCTACAAATGAGGTATCAAAATCCAAAAATGATACTATTCATTTACCACCACACCCAGAATTCCATTACAAATCTGGGTCAGAAAAAACTATACAGACTTCACATGATGATAATCCACATTTAGATGGACAGAGCATTGCTTGTGAGGTGAATGAACTTTCATGTACTGATGAACTAGTTGTAAACAGAGTAGAAAGTGAATGTGTATTAAATCAACAAGTGTCCCTTAATTCTCAAGACCAGGTGAAGTTGCCAGCTGACTCCCTACTAAATATAAACAAAGAGTTACCTAGATCGGCAAGTGAGGCTTTTCATGAGAACCATCACTCTCCAGTAAAGGACAGAGCAGACATCATCTCTGATAACCAAACCATTCCTGTTAAAACTAGAATGAAAGATATCTCTCCTCCAGGTGACAAAATCTGTGGTGCCTCTTCAAATAATTCCATCTTAAGCATCAAACCAAGAAGCCTAGGAGAAAAAAAAGGAAAAACTAATTCAGGAACAGATGATCTACATTCCAGGTTCCTCTCAAGTACGAATGAAGTCGCTGGCTTTCCTCAGAAGGTCTCTGTCACAGAATGTAAAAATGTTCAACCTCGGGATAAAGCTAGCAGCCATTGTGTAAGTAAAAATGCAGCAGAAGAGGGCAGGTGTTCTTCCACTTGTGCTACTTTTGAGTCCAGCAAAATCATCCTGAAAGTTGACAATTCTTTGATAACAGAATGTAAAAATGCACATCAGCACGGTGATTGCCACTCCCAAGGAACAGAAACTTCCTTGGAAAGGAGTGCCCATAAAGTGGAAAGGGAACTTGATGGGAGAGAATCTCAAGAAGGGATCAGAAAGGAAATGACAGTAGGCACATTAGATAGTGGAGGCCCAAATGAAACCATTTGTAACACCAGTCACATCATACCCAGTGAGGAAGGGCTTGAAGAAAAGGGACAGAATTTACCCAAAGAGACTGTAGTTTCTAAATATAACATCTCTGATTGTGCTACACAAAGACTAAACCAATCTATAAACATTCCAAGTCCTGAAAAAGTGTTGGACCAATCCCCTAATGTCCTGTTCTCCAGTTTTAAAAGCATAAACCGAGCAGAAGAAACTCAGCATCAGAAGGCAGATGAAGACCTTGACGGCCAGAGTAACCAAAACAGACCAGATGACTGGAGAAGGAAAGATAAACCAGCCAAGGCTACACAAGATAGTGAGCAGAGAGAGTCTGTCACAGAGTCTAACAGAGACATAAGCCTCAACCAAAAGGATCTGATGGCCGGTTCAGGCAATAACAACCCTCCTTCTTGTGATAGTCCAAAGAAAGGCAACTTTAATGGAAACTTTGAAAATATTCTTGGTTATAAAGACTCCACAAATAGCACAGTGGACACACCTGCCTACACAGACTGTAGTAATGAGCCAGCCGAAAGAAAGGCATGTCTTGCACTTGATAGCAGTGGAAGGCCTAATCAACCCGTATTATGTGAAATCTCCAGGAGTGCCCTATCTCCAAGAGGAGAACTCAATGCTGCATTTGTAAGAACAATTGACCAGGACTCCGATTCCCCCAGTGCTACTTCCTCTACAGTAGAATCTCTTGAAATAATAAAATCATGTGAAGAGAAAACATGCAGATCTAAAGACAGTGAAATGAAATTGTATACAGACTCTTGTGTTCATGAGATAAACTCTGTTGCAGATCATGAACCAAATATAAAAGTATTGCATAAAGTAAAAATGTCTTCAAATTGTGTTCTTCGTGAACAGAGAGTTAAAGAACTACAAGTAGTGGATAAAGGATCTAAATTAGAAATGAATTCTGAGTTTGACAAGGAGAATTCCTTTGGAATTTCTTCCAAAAAGTTGATGTCTTCTAGATATCAAAGTGAGAACTCTGCTCCCCTAGGGAAGCTACGCTCCACTGATAGATTGTCATCCTACTCGTCTTCTCAAGAAAATCCTGAAAGTAATCATAATTATCTGAGTGGAGAAGCTGACCCAAACAATCCTTTTAAACCAAAAGATGGTGACATATTTTGTGACTACACAGTACTACCTGAGATGAAGAAAGGCGCTCCAAGGGTTATGAATTGTCCAAGAGGAGCCAGTATGTACATCAGTGTAAAAAAGGATATGTCACAAGTTTGTCATCCTGATGATCAACACTTGTCTTTAACTTTGGAAACAGAAGCTAACGTGAAAAGAGAAGAAATTGAAGAACAGCGGGAACCAACGGGCCATTTTACTGTTGCGGAGGAATCTGAAAAGATGTTGACCAGAGAAGATGTTGATGTTGATAATAAGAACAAGATTTCTCAGACCCACTTTAAATGCAACAAAATGCTTGGTGATGCTGAAGAAGAAGGCAGCCAGAGAATTTTGGACAACCTGTTGCAGAAGGAAGAGGAACATGCCCATAAAAAAGGAGTACATGCTATATTGGAACAATGCACATCATCTAATATGATGTCTGATGAGGTGCAAAATACAAACCTGCATAAGGATTGCAAAGCTGAGTCTACTGTGATGAAGGAAATCCCCCTAGCAAAGCTGACTAGGGGCAACATTGCTGTATTGTCTCAGAAGTTGAAAGACCCAAAGGTGGCAAGCTTGTATCATCCTTTGGAGAGGGTCATCGAATTGTCTGCAGGCCTTTGCCTTCCCAGTGCCTCCCAGAAAGCACAAGATCTCCACTCCACTGGGTGTGATGCTATACATGGTGCCTTTAGGAACACGTCACATCAGAAAGGGTTACTTCCCTTAAAGAAGCAACCCCACCGAACATGTAAAAGAACTTGTCAGGATCGAGTAAAGGTGGGAAGGAAAATAAGTAAAACTAGAAGTTCTGCCTTTTTAAAGAGTTCCTCAGAAACCATCCCTGCAAAAGAACCCAGACTTCTCAGTTCATGTGCTGTATCTGTCCCTGTACAACTGGAATCTGGAACAGTAATGCCTAGGAGCTTAACTAGCCACATACCAAAGCAGAGGGCTACTCCATGTTATCTCTTGAGGAGCCTGAACTTCAGGAAGCCTACCAAAGAATCAGCCTTACTAAGCAAGCTGTCCATCCTCGCCCATAAACTAGCCCCAGCCACAAAGACCCAGAAAGTGAGATATTGGCGCTGTTCCTCTGAACTGCTTCCAGTGGCTAAAAGCTATAAGCGACTCAGATATAAAAGGTTCTTGGATGGATTTTCATATAATACAATGCAGTTGAATCCATATTTGGCAGCTAGTAGATGGGATAAGAAGCCTAACAGTAAGCCTGTGGCACTTTATTCGCTTGAAACCTTCAAAACAAGCTTCATGGATCTGAGCAACAAGATGCTGTCCCTGCTGTTTGGTACTCAAGTCCTCCCAGTCTACTTTCACGTGAACTCAGGTTCTGATTGCATGACTGAGGCCTCCAGGACTTTCCCTGAGCACTGTGCTCCAGCAAGGCTTGCCTTAGGAGAGGCCTCCAGGTACCCATCCCAACCTCCCAAGTGGACCTTTTCTTTCTTCTTCTCACACCGTGGTTCTGGAATGGCCACATTCAGGGAAGACACTGGCCACCAGAGCCAGGCCCACTCCCAGGTTCCTCTAGCTCCTCTCCATGACTCTGGTGGCACTGCCATAGTCCAGACCAGAACAGGTTTCTCTGTCTTAGGCCTTCATACGCTGCTAGCACTTTGTTCCCCTGGATGTTACCGGATTTGGACAAAAAAACGGAGCTTCTCCAACCACATGCCTACTGTACAGAGGCTCTTCATGACCCAGTTTACACAAGGCTTGAAAGGGTTAAGGTCTCCAGCCTCCATCTCAGACAAAGTCTTCTGTTCTCTGCCCTACTCAGTGGGCAGGGTACTGTCCATTTGGAGCCAGCATGGGCCTTCTGCCTGCCCCCTCGAAATCTCTGCTCTTCATTCCAATCACAGCAAGTTGCAGCCAAGCCTGGGCACCACCAGCAGGTAAATCGGTCCCCTCTTTTCCTCTTTTTTTTTTTTCTTTTTCTTTTTTAAAAAAGCTTTTATTGTGAATTGAGTGATAGTTTACATGAGAGACATCAGTTTTGCACTCGTCCTATTATATTTTGTTTCATTGCAATGATTACAGTCCCCTCCATGCATCATCATTTAACAATATTTGCTTCTATTCCCTCTTTTTTTTTTTGAGGTACACAAAAACACACAGAAATGTATAATCATTTTAAACAACCAAGGGGCACATTCTACAAGCCTACCTTCTGGCTGCCAGCACACAGCTTTTCTCTTTCCATGAGACTAGTGCCTCAGATGCTCTTTCTCTCCATGTCCTCATCTCTGCCTCTATCTCTGTCACTGCTTCTCTGGTTAGAGTCCCACATTCCTCTCATTCTTCTCTCTTTTTGCAAATGTTTTATATTTGAAGAAAGGGTGATTGTACACTCCCAGAAATGCAGGATCATCTGGGGTCCTCTTTGTGTCTATGTGTTCTGTTTACCTTGCCACAGCTCTGCTGAGAAAATGCACCATTGGTTCTAAGTGTAGACCCCTTTCATTTTTCTGAAGAATCTTCTCCTGTATTTTACACTGTATCTTTTTTCTGTCTTTTTCATTCTTCAAACCACTAAGTCTTTGGAATCTTCGTTTTCTCCTTTTGCCTCCACATCACAAAGAACAAACACCCAGGACAAGCTCTAAAGGTAACAGTTCATAGGGATATCTTATCTACAAGGCATTATACACCCAGCACCTAACTCACTGTTTGGCATGTAAAAAATACAAAATAACAACATACTTTAAAAATACTGACTACTTAATAAGTAATACTTATTTAAAAATGATTAGATTATGTAGACATCTCCATTTGTTTCATATATTAAAGAGCCTTCAAAAACTGGCATTTACTTACTATAGTTTTAGGAGTTACAGAACTTAAAAATGAATCTATTAAGGAGTTACTGTGTATGGCCACTGGAAATAATTTCACCAGTATCATCATTTGAGCGCTAAACTACCCATCTTAAGAATTTTTAAACAGCTGCTTTAGACATAATAGATAAATCCTATTTACAATTTTTTAGATGTTATTGTTAAATGCCTTTTAGTCAGTTTTGAATCATAGCAACCCTATACAGTGTTTCCAAGGAGCGACTGGTGGGTTTGAACCACCAACCTTGCAGTTAGTAGTCTAGTGTTTATCCTATAGCACCACACCAGTTCTCCAATTTTTATATAGAGAAAAAAAATTATATTGTAATTGGACTTTCTGTTACTATTATGGAGTCCTGGTGTGGCATTCTAGGTTAATTTAATGTGCCAGACTGAAAAGCCATTTGAACTGCAAGATCGGCAATTCAAGGTCACTGTGGGTCGTAATCAACTCCACGGCACTTAACAACAACAACAATTACTGTTATATGAAAATTAAACAACAAAAAGCCTTAAAATTCCAAATAGCTGGGGCAAGGCCCTGCTCTTTGCTTATCTGAGCAGTCTCTTATGTAGTGTCTTGAGCATCTTGAGAGAAAAATAAATAAATAAAAGCGTTGTGGGGAAACACCGCAGGGCCTGAACACTGCTGATTGAAATGGAAAGACTGCTATTACACTTATCCTATAGTTAATAGAAAAATGTCCACGTCATATAATCCAGCCACCGAAAATGCCTTAGAACAAATCATTGCTTGAAATGACAGTTCTGTTCACATTGCCTAGTTTGTTAGTATGACTCTCAGCTTACTTAATTGTTCCCTGCTGTGTGTCTGTGTCACACTGCTTTAAATTGTATTACCATCTTCAAAATAGATCAGAGGGTGCTTAGTCATCTCACCCCAGGAAGGTGTTTGCCTTTGGTCCTTTTCTTCTTCCAGAGCTCTGCTTTCTATCTCCCACCTCTACCCCCTAAGTTTTCTGTTTCCTAGTGTGGAATATCTTTTCTCTCCCCCTCACACCCTAGGCTGATCTTTTCTTTTATTTAAATTTAAATGGAAGGTTGAGGTTGGGGGGATGGGTGGTAGGCATTTTTTCTTCTCATTGGCCCTAAAAGAGTTCTAACCTGGGCCTATAGTTTAGAAAGTTGCAATTTTTCTAAGTATACCTGGATTCTTTCCAGCTTGGTAAATTGGAGGTAGTCCCAGAAAGCCAGACTTGCTTTTAATATAAATGATGAGACCAAGACACCAGAACACGTTTTCTGCTCCAGATCACTAGCACTTCGGCTGGTCTCAGTTCCTGACACTGCCACTTCCTTTCCAGTGCCCCGCCCTGACTCTTTCCTTTCCCAGTCCTCCACAGGGAACCCTGCATTGGTGTGCAGCAGTATTCAGGAAAATGGATTCTCTCTTCTTAGAGGAAATAGGTTGTATGACTTTGTAAGTTAAGCCTGTACTATGTCCTTGGTTCAGTTGAAATTGATGGGGGTTTTAATTTGAAAGCCACAGAAAACTCTCCAGAATTCGTTTATAAAAATAATAGTTCATGTGATGGTACCTGGTGGGGATTATAATCATTGTAATGAAATAAAGTATATGATTTATTGAATGTAGAACTGATGGTCTGCCCTGTAAACTTTCACTCAATTCACAATAAAAACTTAAAATAAAAAAAAAGCTTCACTGTAAAGCAACCTACCTACCCTAGTAACTGATTTTCTTCTATGTGACCTTGTTTCATATACAACATAAAAAAAAATCAAACTTCTCTCTGTTTTTGTAAGACCATAGAAGTTAGCAAATTTTATTATAACATTATGTAATACAGAACTGATGAGTAGTGTAAGATATCTCATATTTAAATTATATATTTTTTAATCTGGTAATAAACCTATTCACCAACTTTCTCCTACTACCCTCTTTATTTTTCTGTCTTCTTTCCATTTAAATTAGAAAAGAATCTTACTGTCAACATGCCTCCATTCCATTGGTGGACACATAATTCTCTGGCTGGGAGGTTTTCATCTCTCTGGGTAGCTGAAATTTCCTGTCATCCTAGGGTTCAAATTAAGTATTGTGTACTAAATACCCACAGTGACATCAGAATTATTCCTGTCATTACACTATACTGATCTGTTGCTTTTGTACTTTTGGTTTACCTCAGCCACACCATGTTACCATATGTGCCTCTTCCAGACGTGGAAGCTGCATGTAGCACCAGAGGCAGTCAGATGAGGTAAGCCTCCTACAGCTCCTGGCACACAATGGCTTGTCAGACTTTTATGTGTGAATGGCAGAGCAGATGGTATGGTCAGGGATGGCACAGCTCTTACCTTTGACCTCCTTCAGAACCTGATCCACATGTCTCAGATGAACATCTCTGAGATTCCCCTGTATTCATTACAACTAGCATCTAGGGATGTATGATCAATACTATTTATTTTTTTAAAAAGTCAGAATCTCTAGTCATCATCTTTCCTTGAATAGGATTGATGCATTCTGAGCAATGTTTATTTGTTCGCTTCACAAAATGTCTTTTACCCCTACCCCTAGAACCTTTTGACTTTTCTCCCTGTAAAACTGCTCTATACCAGTGAAATAAATTGACCTCATTCTTGTAGTATTTTGCATATGCAGACCCAGGCTATCTCCAGAGTAACTGGAGTTGCCATCCTGAAAAGGGGGAAGTCTAGCCTTAGTCTGAATATATAAAGAAGTTGAATGTGCTGGACATAGAAAGTAGGCATCTCTGATATTTTTCTTCTGTCTTTCTCTCCACGGTGCTAGGCCAGAGCATCCCTTCTCTGCCTTGGTACCAAAGTCTTGTTTGGTAACAGAAACAGCTGTCAGCAAGCTCCTGCTTTCCACCTCTGAGTTCCAGGTTCCTGGGTTTGATGAGCTGGATGGCTTGACAACAGTGTGCCCCCGACCACAGAGCAGCCCTCCAGACCAGAAAGAGGTAATTGCTAAATACTACTGGGATAGCATGACTATAGCACCAATGGTATTCACTGTATAGGCACAGACTAGTCCTTGAGTTACTTACCACCTCTAGCTTCATCTGAGTACTGGGATTTACCCTCAAGGCGTGTTTCTGCTTGGCTGCTTAAGGATGCCCTGGATTTCTTCATCTACATTGTGTTTCAGATCCTTTTCTCTTGAAGAGTACACTTGACAGTGTGTAGAGAGTTGGACCAAAGAGCTGCTTCATGCGTTCAGATGAGTGAATGGTGATGTTCTTCAGTTTTGCAACATCTGCTGTCTCTAAAAGTTGTAGACGTTCATATTGATAATTCATTATCTGAACTGAATGTACAATTCTATTTTTGCTATTTAAAGGGGTGTAGTTGCTGAAAACACATTCAGCAGAAGGACAAGAAGCTTTATCATATTCTACTTATTAGAATCATCTGTAAACTCAAGTGATGCCCAGAGTGTCGAGAAAGAAAACTACATATTTAACATGTCTTATAACTTGGAAACCCTTCTTCTTAACCCTTAAAAATAGGCTGAGCCAGAGAAGAGGCCAAAGAAAGTCTCACAGATTCGCATCCGGAAAACCATTCCTAAGCCAGACCCTAACCTCACCCCCATGGGCCTCCCTCGACCCAAAAGGTGAGCTCATTCTCTAATACAAACGAATTTCACTTTTTTATATGGAAAACCGTTTGAACAAATATAATAACCACATACTTGGAACCATTTTTACATCTAGGAATTTATCCCAAACAAATAGTTAGTAATGTGGTCAGAGAATTATGTACAAGGATGTTTACATGCTTTCTTTTTCTTTTTTTTTAAAGTTTTTTTGTGTGAATTGAGTGGAAGTTTGCAGGGCAGATCATCAGTTTTACATTCAAATCATATACTTTATTTCATTACAATGATTATAATCCCTTCTGTGTACCATCAGTTAACAGTATTGCTCTCTATTCTTTTTAGCTCTTTTTTTTTTTTTTTAAAACACTCAAGCATATATATTAGTTTAAACCACCAAAGGGCATATTCTGCAAGTCTGCCTCATGGCTGCCAGTTTTCAGTCTCTCTCTTTCCGTGAATCTAGGTTAGTCTTCAGCTGCTCCTTCTCTCCATGTCCCCATCTCTGCCTCCATCTCTGGTGTCGCTGCTTCTCTGGATAAGGTCCCACATTCTGCTTGTGCTCTTGTCCCTTGATGGTCCTAGGGTCCTCTGTTTCTGGACTATAAGATTAACTACTCCCCTCTTTTTGTTACAAAACGTCTACCTTTACAATGATGACAGTCTCAATTAGTCATAATAACAATTACTCACTGTTGAATCATAAGACTCTTATCCCCATCTCTTTTTACCAGACCTGCCTAGACAAGATGAAAACTATTCAGTGGGGGACTCTATCTTCCCTCACACACTCTTAAACTAAACTCCCTTTTGAAACCTTGTAAGGCCGTCACTCCATGCCTTTATCGCCCCCTCATGTTAGGTAGCCAATGTCTAAGTACAAGGAGCTCTGGTAGCATAGTGGTTACGAATTGGGCTGCTATCCTCAAGGTCAGCAGTTCGAAACTACTAGCTGTTCCATGGGAGAAAGATGAGGCTTTCTGCTCCCATAAAGATGTGCAGCCTCAAACACTGTGCAGGGTCACTATGAGTCGGAACCAACTCCACGGTACTTAACAACAACAAATTTCTGAAGTATTTTTATGGAGCTCACTATGTGCCAGCTCTTTGCATACATAATCTCCGTTCATCTCCCACAGTTGTAAGGTAAGTGCTGGCTGTCATTGTCTCCCGTGTGAAGGTGAGTGATCATAGTGTTTGTCATGGCAAACAAGTTTGCTGCCAACACAAGAGACTGGACAAACTCCTGTGCCCAAGCTCCCAAAGATTTCTCTCTCTCTTTTTCTCGCTTTTTTTTTTTTTGTGTGTGGTATGGCATGGAGAATTGCTAACTCTGTAAAGGAAGTGGAAAGAAAAAACAGATGACCAAATGTTAAATGTGGTGTGATTCCAATCTCACAATTAATATATGTATTACACCACTACCCTACAAAAACTTAAGCTTTTTTAAAAGTGTCTCCCAACTTTGATTTTATTCCTTCATTTCTCATTGGCAGAAGAAATCTAGCAGTGGTCCTGTAGGAAACCCTTTGTGGGCTATTTAACTTCTCAGGAGCTTATGTGTAAAATGTGACGAAAATTGACCCAAACTTGAGATTGCTTTACAGTTCGATGGAAGGAAAATAGTGCTTTACATAGCATGTGATGCAATCACGAGTTAATTATGGTGATGAGGAAGGTGTGGTAATTGCTGTTCTACTTCTTCCACGTGATGTTATCCTACTGTAATGCATTGTTACCTTGTAATTATTACTTGATCTCCTGTCATACATCTCGTCAAAAGATATTTAAGAAAGATTTCAGCTACCCAAGGTTGATCAGTACTTAATAGAGTGAGCTAGTATTCAGAATCACTTATATTCCATCTTGCACTTTTGTGGAATTGTAATTTTTAAAAAAACCCTGGTTTTTATAAGTAAATAGTTGAGAGTGAAGAGTTTTAATATAGTAATGTCATGCCATTTTTTTTTAATCTTTTTGAAAGTTTTGTTCCCCTCTCCCCCCCAAATGACAGAATTCCTATCAGAAAATTATATGTAAGGATGTACGGCCTAATTGTTTTGAAAGTGAAGCATTTGGAAGCACTTGACTTACAAAGGTTACATTACCCAGGGTTTGGTGGCAATCACTGTGTCTGTGTTTGGGAATTTCACCCAAACGACTGTACCAGTAAATGGCTGGTGCCCATGAATGTATGAGGGTTAAATCTAAAAATATTACTACTACAGTTCCAATACATTCATGCATGGTTTGTTCCAGACAAAATGTATTTAAATATATCTCTGCAGTCAATGGATGGCTGCAGACAAATTCTATCAGTAACACACTGGTCTTAATCTTCTTGTTGTTGTTAGCTAAGTGCCATTGAGTGGGTTGACCTTGTGGTTCAAACTGACTTGCACTTCAGTGCTTATCCTACAGCACCACACCAGATCTCATATTTAGTCTTACTAATATGCTTTTTAAAAAGGTGGGAGGAGGCAGTCAGTTAAAACAGTGGCTGCTGAGGGGATCTGCTGGGCCAGTTCAATTCAGGGCAGAGAGGTCAGCTCAGAAGGTTGTTATTGCAGCTGTGGTTTTGGATTTCTAAGGGGTCATCTGATAGATTTTCTCTAAGTAAACGGCGATCATGGGGGCTGATTATAAAAATGTTTTAAGAAAATAGAAAACTGCATTGGTAAGAAAAACATCAGGAAAGTTGCACCCACCAAGAAATTAGTTTCCATCATGGTAATGCACCTGATTATTGTTCAAAGGTAGAAAGAGCTGTCAATGAGAATTCCACTGGAAAACCCTTACTCCCATCTACCCTACAGCCCTGATCTTGCCCTTTCAAACGTCTTCTTGCTCCCCAAACTCAACATTTAAAAGGAACACGATTTGTGTCCCTGGGGAGATGGGAACACCACCTTCAGAAGTGGCTAGACCTAGATGGGGGATATGTAGAAACACAATAGGTTCACATTTTGATTTTTATGTTTAGTAAAGGTTTCTATGATTTTGTAATAGTACTCTTGAAAGACCTTCATATATGTTACTCTTAAACTCAGAGACACCTTATTTAATTTGATATATTGCAAAGGGGTTGAAAAAGTAAGAATTTCAATAAATTGTCTGTAATTGTTTGATAAAATTATTCTTTCATTGTAAGCATACATTTGTTTAAAAACCTTGAAATTTGTAGGTTTAGTGCATTAGATGTATGGGAAATGATTGCCATATAATTTACTGGCAAAGTCAATCTTTACTCAATCCCAGCCAGCCAAATCATTCTTACTTTCTGACAGAAAAGGTCTGACTTGATTTTTCAATTTAAGTAACGTGTAAACTTGCATTTTGATGAAAGTTATACAAGACCGATTTATAAAAGCCATAGTAAAAACATGTAATAATGTATTTAGTTTAGTAATAAATTACTAAATCAACATGATGCTATTTCTTATTACTCAGTTTATCATAAAGCCACGTAATGTATAGCTGGAATTATAGCTTATAAAGTCAGAGGCATTGTCCATAGCATGGCATTGCTTCAGGAAGTGTACATGCATGCATCTAACTTTGTTATTAGTCTCTGAAGGACTGTGAACAACCACGCAGAAAAATCAGAAATAAATCCATTTATTTAAGTCTCATGATTGCTGTTATAGTCAATATAGAAGAAAAAAATGTATTGCTACAAATTAGCTGGTACAGCAAATCTCACCAGATAATTTTTGTTAACTGGAAGTAGAAACTATAACCATTTGTAAGATGAAATAAGATGAAATAAGAATTTATTATCTTTGAATTAAGTATTTCATTATCTGAGTTGATGAAAGTTTGTCCCTTAACTAAAGAAATTATTTTTAAACTTTAACTTTGGATTTAAACCTCTTCTTGAAGTATTTTGTAGTCCCAGTAAACATTTCAGTTATATGTCTTTTAAAAATCATTTCCTGAATGAGCTTTTCTTTTTTAATAATGATCTGTTACTGAAAATTGAGAACAGCTTGTGGGGGAGAAAATGTTATGTTCCATTAAATATCTGAACAAGCTCTTTTGTAGTGTTTTAAGCTTCTTTTGCTTTGTTATACAGGACTCTCCCTTAAGTTGTTAAGTGCCATCCAGTCCATTCTGACTCTTGACAACTCAGTGTAAGGTTTCCAAGGAGTAGCTGGTGGGTTTGGACCACTGACCTTATGGTCCAGTGCTTATCCTACAGTGCTGCATCAGGCATTATTGATAATTAGGGGACGAGACAAAGTATTTCTGACAATACCATTTCACAGCATATATCTGAATCAGAAAATCTTAATACAGCCAAAATACTATTCTTCCTAAAACCATACCTCTGTTTACAGAGCTGTGCATACGATGGGGAACAGCAAGTTCCAGACAAGTTTACAGTGCTTTCAGATCACTTAGAGTGATCTGATTCTTATAACAAAGTATAGAGTTCAGGATGAATTAGAGCTGTTCTGAGAGAATAGAGACACATTCATTAGCGTTCTGGCCACTTTTCAGACATAGCACTTTTTGTGAAATAAAAATCAAGAGGCAGATTTCTGTAAAACTCTTGTGTTCTGCTGTATTCTTGGGCAAATCTTCTGGTACACTATTCTGAGTCTTAATAAGGAGACAGAAACCACAGTTTTAAACTAAGGAAGTTAAAAAAATAGTAAACTATGGTAAAAGAGACAAAGATATAACAGGGATTCTGAAGAATACCTCAGGACTAAAGTGAGACTATTCAAGGAAGAACAGACTTAAAAGGCAGGCCCCCTCCCCAGGTTGTGGTTTAGACTTGGTTGAATAAGGTGTGGTTGCAGCCTTTTAGATGACTGGATTGCTGAGCCAGAGTTGTTTCAAAACTGGACAAACAGAAACAATGAACTTTTGGGCATAGATGAGCTGAGGCTGGTGGTCATGTGCACAGAGGAGTATAATACCTGGAATGTGTGCTGTTGGCTTCTGGAGGGCCATAGGAAACAACCCTCAGGGAGTGGGGCTACAGTTGTGGCCTTGTGTGTAGTGTCTGT